GGATGGAGCAATGATGCTCAGAGAAAGAGCACGCTTCATGGAGGTCACAAATGGGCCCTGACCACGTCTGAGGAATCTTGGAGAACAAAGTGCCAGAGAATGTAGTTATGTGTATACGGTTTCAGTTTTCAAAAATCAGAAAAATATAGATATCGTCTCTACCAAAGAGATTCCCAAACAGATGATTTGGGGGGAAAAAATGTAACCACTAATAGCTAGCACAGATTTACACAGACCAAGTCATAGCCAGAGCAAATCTACGCCCTGTTTTGAAAGGGTTACTAGCCTGATACATTTGGGGAATCCTGCAAATATCAAGATTCAAAGAGTGTTTCCAAGGGCTTGCTGTATAACTCATCCTGGGACCAATCATATTTATTAAAATTTTTTTAAAAAATTGAGATATATAGATAGTTCACATACCACAAAATCTACCCTTTTCATTACATAATTCAGGATTTTTTAAAAAGTATATTCACAAAGTGGCATACCCATCACCGCTAATTCCAGATGTCCTCCTGTTTGTTTTTATCAGTGACCTAGATGATGTCACAGAAAGCTTGCACATCAAATCTGATGGTCGACACTAATTTTGTCCCTAGAGAAAGAGTCTGGCACCCAAGGACAGTTTAGGCACATGTTAGCAGAGGAAGGGAAGGAGGATGAGATTCTTAATTGATTTTACAATTAGAGGACACCAAGCTGCAGTCATGGTCAATTGTTGGACAGAGGTAGCAAGAGCTGCTGGAGGATCTTCTTGCCCCGCAGCATCTAGTATGTGGCCCCACGGCACCACCTGGAGACCCTGGGAGGGGGTGGCACTTCTCTGGTGTCCTCCGAGCACCCTGCCCCTAGGGAAACTGCTCTGGGCTAAGACAGCTCCCAGCTCGACCAAGGTCATGCTCCATCCCCATCCGATGACCATCCAACATGGGCATATAAAGAACTGCCCCTTCACTCTAAAGAGTCACTCCAACTTTAGAACTGCCTATAGGGTCAGAACTTCCCAGACTGCACTGCAGCTCAACTTGTCCTTCTGCCCAGTTCTGCTCCCTTCCTTCCCTTTTGACTGTACTGATCCCAAGGGCCCTCCTTAGAATGTGTCCTGCCCATTAATCTCCATCCCAGAGTCCACCTCCCAGGGAACACAGACTCCCACAGACATTCGCTCATTGTCTCAGTTTGCTCATCTCTTCAAACGGAGCAGGGGGTGGGGAGGGGTGGAGGAAGGGTGGGCAGGGCAGGAGTAGAGAAAACCCCGCCACCCCAGGTGAGATCTCACTCAAGGTCAGCACAGGCAGTGAGTCGGGGGCGTGGCCAGGACTCAACCCTATTCTGAGTTTGCTCCTCTGCCCTCCGTCCTGTGGACAGGGCTTGGGGTGAGAGACAAACCTCAGCAGCCCCTGCTTCCAGGCGGCAGGTCTCCAGTTTGGATGGGGACAGCACCCAGAGGCGCACTGCTCTTGAGGAATGCATGAAATACTCATTTAGTGCATTCACACCATGAAATGAATAATTTTATCTGAAATCAGCAAACATCTTTGACTAGTTTCCCAAAATAAATAAGTGGTTACCAGTTGTCCAAGATTTGAGAACAATTTTAAGGAGAAAACCTATGAATTGTTCACAAGTTTAACCTTTTTTTGCCACATGAGGAAAAGACATCCACAATTCAATTTTAATCACAGAGACGCTGGAAGCAGCCCAGGGAACGTGGGAGCAGAGTCTGCAGAAGCTGCTCGGAGGGGCCATCCTCTCCCGCCAGCCACGACAGTGGGGGCAGAGCTTTAAACGCTGATCCAGGAGGAGGAACGACTGATCCCGAGAGCCCTGGAGGGGATGCAAGGCAAAGCTCCCTGGGCCCACAAGCGAACCCAGAACTTGTCGGGATCACGGGATGACAGCTCACCCTCGCTGCAGATATCTTCACTCCACTCTCACCTTATAGAGTTCCCTGAGTGCCTCGAGCCCCGTCTGATCTGAAGAGTGTGCTGGTTTCTAGGTGCCTTACGAGGGTTAGCTCCTATAACAATGTTTCCAGGTGCCTTATGAGCGTTAGCTCCTATAAGCCTCCCAGTTAGTAGACCCACTTTACAGAAGAGGAAGCAGTTTTCAAGATGTGAAGCAATTTGCTCAGGTCACAGTGAGTGGGGGAACTGCAGTTCACATCCAGAGTCTGATGCCAGAGCATGTGTCTCACACTTCAAAAACTTGAAAAGAAAAGCAGCAAGGGCCACAGAAACACCATGAGGATGGAGCAGGCCATTCTCCCTCATGGGACGCTACAGCCACACTCCCACTATGCATCGACCAGCTCCCTGCTCTTGGTCTTTTCTGGGTCAAATGTCCATTTGAGGTTGTGAAGCCGAAATGGAGAGAGATTTGGAGTCAAGAGAGGCAAGTGCAGCTCTGCCACTTCTTAGCTCACATCCCTGGTCTTAGTTATCCCATCTGTTAAATGGGAAAACAGTCTCTGCTCTCCCCCACAACAGAGGAAGAGGCCAGAGGCACGATGCAGATGTTGGTGGCGCCCTTTGGCCACCAAACCTAACTCTGCTCGCCAATCTCTCTGCCACCTAGGGAATGCAAGCCTCTCGGTGTGGTTTACGCCTCCGATACTAGGAAAGTTAACCTCCTGTACAAAAGTGTTAGATATCAAGGTCAAATGCAAAGGTTTGGGGCTTAGCAAGGCCACTACTATCCATCATCAGCTGGGAAAGTTAAGATTGACATAGTGATATTCTACAGCCATTCCCCAAATGTCAAAATTACACGATTCACTGATAGGGACACAGGAAGCCTCTGGTGTTGGCTTCTTGCTTCTAGACAATGAGCTCTTTAAACTATTTGGCTGCTTGCTCTTCCCCTGAAAGTGTCCATGCTTGGGGACTCCATGACGCTGAGTGATGGATTGTACCGTAGCATTCCAGATTGTGAAATAAGACGGAACGCCCCGACTCGCACATGGCCACTCGCTTAACCCATGTCTGCTGCCCTGAATTGCAGTCTGACCTCTGACGGTCAGGACGTTTGTTCCTTGAGTCCCTCTTCGGTGCGGCTGAGCATGCACTCCTTCCATTTCGGCTGATTTCCTCTGGTTTAGGTCTCTGTAAATGTGGAGGCAGCTGCTCCTCAGCCTTCCGCATAAATCTTTCATGAGTTTACTGGAGTGAACATTCTTCCCCTGCAGCCTCCTCATCCCTGGCCCCGTCCATTAGCCTCTCCTCACAGGACATACTTTCCATCCCTTTAATCATCTTTATTGCCTGGCTTTGGACTCTGTCCCGGGTCCACATCCTTTGCAAGGTGTGCTGACCTAACCCGGGCATTCGTTAACACGAGAGCCGCCCAGCGGAAGGGCAGCTTCCCAGTGCCTGTATGGCGCGGTCCTCTTCCTACATTCCTGGGTCATGCTGCTGCTTTCCGGAGGCCTGACGCTGTCCAGAGGACTCCTGCTGAGTGAGGCAACCTGGCCCACAAGTGGAGCTGGGGACCTGAATGCTGAGCTCAGGGAAGCAGGTCAGAGGGTGACTTCTCATTCAGAAGCCTGGGGACTCCCCACACTTCCAGGCACGCACTCTGAGGACCATGGGGCAGAGGGAGGAGGGACACCAAGCCTCTGCACTCCCCAACACCTACCCAGTATCCCGTGAACCCCATTCCACCTTTAGGGGTGTTCTCTACTTCTTCCCTCCGCCAGGAACCAGAAACCAGGATTAACTTCTGTGAAGCTGTGTGGCAAAAAGGTAGCACGTACAGTGTGATACCCCAGGACAAGGCTTGCTCCACCTCTCTTGGCTCAGATTCCCCTTTTCATGCCACTGCATAAAAGTGCCCAGTGGTGGATTGCTAAGCCAGGACCGCTCTCCTCCCAGAGAGCTGTACATTTATTATTCTCTGTTTCAGACCAGCTAAAGCCACCAGCTGATGACGAGGTATTCCAGGTGCCTAGTCATCCACCCACCCCGAGCTGGGGATACCACCCAACAGTCCTTGTTCGGGGCCCAAGAGCGGAGGGAAAAATCAGAGACTCAGCTCAGCCACAGTCCCGACCTCACGGAGCTGCCCCTTCTAGGTTTCTGAGCAAGGATATCAACTGGGCTGCTTCTTAGCTCCCTGAGAATATCCTCTGTTCATTAAAAGTAAAATCACAGGCCATCATGTTTATCTAAAAAGAAATCCCTATAGAGGAAAACATCATTTTAACTCCTCAAGCAGAAGCCTCCTTCCCGCCCTTCTTCCTTCCTCCCACCCTTCTTTTATATTTCCATCCCGAAATCATTTACGCATGTTTAAGTAAAACATATCCTCTAACACCTCCTTTTGCACAAATGGCCACATACTGCAAACATGGTTCTGCACCTGAGGTTTTTCATTTAAAATAAACCTTGAAGATCTTTCCATGTCAGAAAGTTTTTAAGGAAACAAAGGCATACCCCTGCCAGGACCCCCAGCCTCAGCTGCTTATTCCTGCCAGGGCCATCTCACAGCAATTTTTCTGGCCCCTGGCTATCACCCAGGACTCTGAACTCCAGGGAGATCCTGGTTTCTGCCTTACGTTCAAGTGAGCTCCTCCAGGCATTTGAGAGCAGTGTCACCTGCCGAAGCATAGCTGCAGAATGCCAGGGACAACTCCCAGTGACTTGGATTGGAAGAAAGATAGATACCCTTGGAGCTCCAGAGCTCCTGGAGGCCATGTCTCAGAACATGGGTCGGCTAAGTCCCAGCCCTCTGTAAACTGCTATTGTTGCTGTGAGGTCAGTGGAAAGAGCAGTTCTTCTGAGCTGTAAAACCTGCCCGGGACTCCTCAAGGCATCCATGCCAGGGGTCAACCAAGAGAAGCTTACCCGCTGCTGCCCAACTGGTAACCAACCTCACTGTGCCAACCTCACCATAGGTAGTAACCAGTGATGGGGTAAAGCAACACACAGGCCAAGAGTGACAGAGCCACATATGGCTGATAGAAAAGAAAACCCAAAGCTCGTGATGGCGTCTCCTACCTTCGGTCATTTCTCCTCCTCCGGAACAACTTCTTTGTGTGCGCGATCTCCACTTCATGGGGCATCGGATGGTAACCCTGCGGTGTCGAGGGGAAGGGGACATCATTAGCAACTCCTGAAAGAGCCCAAAGGACTTCTGGGAGTGAACGAACGACGGTAACTACATCAATGACAGAAAGAAGTGGAGCGTGTGGAAAGAGCAGACTGCAAAATGAAAAACAGTAGAGTTAATAAATTTCCCACCAGGCAACGACGCTGGATCGAGAACAGTAGGGACATAAAGGGGACTTCAGACTTCATCATATCCAGTCACTCAAATTAAAGATGAGAATGCTCAGGTCCAGAGAGGTGAATGGGCCGTTCAAGGACTTGCAGAGTTTGCCACAGAGCTGGGACTACATCCTGGATTCACTGGCTGTATGACAAGTTACTTCTCTAACATCAATGTTCCCGACACAATGAGAATGCTAATACCTTCTCTGAGATGCAACCCCCTTGCAAACCCTAAGCCTCATGTGGTAGAAACGTGCTAGGATCCAGGTCTCCTCATCATCCTAGCCCAGGACCCCCTTGCAATTTTACTCAAGGCCCTCATTCCTTATATTCCTGGGGAGCGGTTAGGAGGAAAACATAATAGCTAAATGCCTTTTACAATTTTAAACTGGGGATAATCCTACGTATTTTTTATATTGTCATGATGACAATAATTTACAGATTTACTTTACAGTTGATGAGAGACCCTCTGCTTACAACGCAGGTCTGATCCCAGAAATGCCAGGCCCCAGGCAGACGATTTGCAGAAGCTGGGCCGATTGTCACCTCCCTTCTCCCAGAAGAAAAGTGTGTTCCAGGGGGACATGGGGAGAATGCTGCCATTCCATTACAGACAAGCCTTGGGGAGAGGTGGGGGGTACCTAGGCCTGGAGGTCTGGGAGGAGAAGGTGGTGTGGCTTGGGTCTGGGACAGCTAGGTAGGCCAACTCAGAGTCCACAGCCTGAGTGTGACCCCGTGGGGACCTTGGGCATGCACAGAGCGAGAGGGGCAGTTATAGGGCCCAGTGTGCTGGACAGTGTTCAATGAGAGTCTATTTGGCTCTACCCCACTTTACAGACAGGGAGACTGAGGCCCACAGGGTTCATACAGTGAATCAGAAGTTCTGTGGGGCTGGCAGCCCGGACCCTCTATGGTGAGGGCACATGCAGCCCCCCAGATCTGGGCTCCACAGCTGAGGATCCTCCTGGCCCTGGGGGCTCAGGACTCAGCTTCTGACCAAAGTGGGGGTGGGTGGGATGGACATTGGCAGCCCTGGCTGTGCCAAGACGGCCAGTCTCGGGGAGCTTCCCAGGGGAACATGGGGAGGGCAATAGGCTCAGGTCACAGGGACCCTGGTGTATGAATGCTTGGCTTAGATTGCTATTGAGTCCAGAAAAAGAATGACATATTTCAAAATATATTTTAATAATAGTTTCTCCCTCCTCCCCTCCCCCTTGCCTCCAACAATCCAGCCAAAAAGGCATGAATGAATTCCGGGCTCCAAGCAGCCACAATGGGCCTCTGTGGTCTTAGGATGTGCTTTGTTTAATGGTTTTCTCAAAGGATATTATTTGCTTTCCTTGATACAAAACACAAACAAGGAAAAACACCAAGTCTTCCCCTCTCATTTCCCCTCTCCCACCCAGACCCAGCTCCAGGCTGGCCTCATCCCTCCCTCCCTCATTCCTTCCCTCTGAGCCTCAGGTCACTGCAGTAACACACTGGGTGTGCCCGTAGAGACAATGGAAGGAAGGAGAGGCTCCCTCTCAAGCCGACGGCCTGGAGTGGGTCTCAGTTCCCAGGCGGCTGGGCAGAGGGAGCTGTCCAAACACTTGGCCCTCCGTGAATTCAAAAGGTGCCAGCTTCCCTTATGCAGCCTGAGTCCTAGGTTCTGATCTGTGTTCTGGCTTCCACCTCTCTCTGCCCACCTCCCATCCCCCCCTTTCCCCAACACACACACACAGCTGCAGGAGGAGGGAGCTGCCCTGTGGCCCAACCTCAGCATGGAGTCTGAGCTCTCCTGCCAGGACTCAGTGTGGCCCAGTGGGCACATCAGGCTGCTCAGGGCTTCTAATAAAGCCACTGTTGTGACCTCTGTTTCCATCCATTCGACCTTCCACATTAATATATATGCATGTATGTATATAAAATATAGTATTGAAAAAATGGCTCTGGAGCTAGATTGTGACATTCGATCTAGCTCTTCCTCGTGATGACTGTGTGACTTTGAGTAAATAACCTGACCTCTGTGTGCCTCAGTTTCCATATTTGTAAAATGGAGGAATAACAGCATCAACCTCCTGAGGTTCTTGCGAGGGTGAAAGGAGTTGATAAACATGTAAGAAACATAGAATATTGCCTGGTACATAGTAAATTTCAATAAGCATCTCTAGTGTCATCGTCATCGTCACCATCATCATCTTTTCTATGACCCTGACACTCATCTTCATCATCATCATCATCATTATCATCTTTTCCATGACTCTGACACTCTGCTCAGTGCTGAGTGTGCCAGGACAAGCAAGGCTGCTTTGGTCCCTGTCCTCATGGAGATTCCAATATTGGCAGAGAGAGTCCAGCAGAGGTGGTTTGCAGGGGAGGAGGGCATGGAAAGCCCAGGTCAGGGTAGGCCTGTATTCTCCTACCCTGTATTCTCTTTCTGAGGCTGGCAGAGCCCAGCGGGAGGCCAAAAATCAGCTGAACAAAGTGACCACAGAGACAGAACAAAGCCTTCCACCTCTGAGGTCCTGCATCCCCAGGAATAATCCAAGCTCCAGAAGACTGGTACTACCCACAAACCCACCTGGGCCCCCAGCCTACTGGCATCATGGTGAGTAAATGAATGAGCCCTACCTTCCCTCGGGCACTAACATAGAACTCTTAGGCACTCCAGGCAAACAATAGGGGGCACCGCATTTATAAAAGCTTCACTGGAGGACCTTCTTTGATCGGACACTTTTATTCCTCAAACTCAAGCTGCTGGTTGTTCCTAAGTGACACACAACTTAAGATGCTGCTGATACTCCCTCAAAACAAGGGCATCTAGGTGTCAAGAGGGGCAAGTATGAGGCCAACAGAAAAAGAAAGAGGGAAAAAAATCTGTGCTTAGCTACATAACTACCAACAGATTAGCTGCTGACCTAGGCTAGGTAAAAGTTCTTTAAAGTCATTGGTGAGAGGTAAGACTTGTACATGAATGTTCACAGCAGCATTATTCATAGTTGCCAAAAATGGGAACAACCCAAATATCCATCAACTGATGACTGGATAAGTAAAACGTGGTATATCCATACGATGGAATATTATATGGCCATAAAAAGGAAGGACTGATATATGCTACAGCACAGACGAATAATCAAAGTGTCACGCTCGGGGAAAGAAGCTAGTCATCAAATGTCATGCATTATATGATTTCATTTTTATGAAATGTCTAGAACAGGCAAATCTACAGAGATGGAAAGTAAGATTAGTGATTGCCAAGGGCTGGGGGGGAGGGAAAATGAGGAGCGACTGCTAATGGGTACTGGATTTCTTTTTGCGGTAATGAAAATATCGTGAAATCAGATAGTAGTAAGAGTTGAACAACTTTGTGAATATACTGAAAACCATTTGACTGTACACTTTAAAAGGGTAAGGGCATATAAACTATGTCTCAATTTAAAATAGTGAGAAAAGTATCTGAGAGCAGTATATTCCAGGCAGAGAGAATAGGAAGTGTAGAAGGAGGAGGAGGAAGGGTAATAAAAAGATCCAGCCACAACGAAAAGTGTCCCTGTCCCACTCAGTTACTCTCTAGGAAACAGCTGCCCTAAAACGCTGTCCATAAGCTAGAGCTGGAAAGGCATGGGGCACCCAATGACAAGAGTGACAAAAAAGGGATCTGGAAAGGAACATGAGTTGGTATCTCCTGGCCTGGCCAGGGGTGATAGTGTTCCGGCTTTAGATCAGAGATGTCCCTCTGCTTTTGAGATAGGATATACGGCCCCAGTGGAGAACGGCCAATTTATCAGTTTTGTCAGAGTTACCCTTTAAGAGCGTAAGTGGCCTTTGCTCTAATTCTTTACTCAACAAATCCTTCTCTCCGTGCTTTGAAAGAGCCACATGTGGCGTCAGTCAGCTAATATCAGTCCAGGTATGAGTCCTCCCGATAAACGAGAGTGCCAGCCTTTTGGCTTACCAGCGGGTTTGTGTGCTTCGCCAGTGGGAGTCAGGTGCCTCTGCAGCATCACCGCATGGCCCAGGCCCTGCCCTCTCCACATGAGAACCGTTCTCCCTTTAGCTCTGAGTCCTGGCTGCAGTTCCCCTCTGTCTAACCTCTGACCACTTTCAATAACTAAACGGGCCTGGGAGACAAGTAGATTATGTAAACCAAGTCTCTCCAGGGAGGGATGGAAGATAATACTCCTGCAAGCAGTGCTGGCATAGTCCACGTGAAACACACACACACACACACACACACACACACACACACACACACACTCCTGGAGGTCAGCACTGTGTGAGACGTAGCTTTGTGGGCAGCATGTTATTGCTCTGGTTGTAGAAACACGTTATGTAAAATCTGCCTGTTCCAGGGCAGAGCTGCTGGCCCCAGGCTGGCCATGCAAAGGCCTTTCCCTGAGGTGGCGACTATAAACAAACGAACCTTGGGTCTGGGGGTGAGGGTAGAGAGTGGGAGGGCAAAACAAGAACACTGAGCAAGGACGGCATGTGTGCCTGGTGACTCTGAGTGATACACCTCCACTGGGCCACAGACTCCCCACCCCCCCATGCGTGCACCCACCCGCCCGTTCACCCTTCCATTCATCCACCCATCCTATAAATATTGTTGTTTTAGGCACTGCAGAAACAGTAGTGAAAAACAGGCAAGAGGCTTGTTTTTATAGAGCACCCAACCTAGTGAGAGGAGAGAGACAACAAATAAGTAGAGAATGCGATAAATGATGAAGAATGCCATGGCGCAGAACAAGGCACGGGGATGGGTGGGGTGGGGGTGGTCAGACTTCTATGCTGATATCTATGCATCTATCTATCCACCCACCCG